CGGGTATCCGGTGCTAGAAATTCGCCTAGTAGTTAAGTGGCTTACCATGTAGTATTTCGGCGGCTGTTGTCTTTAGATCTTCTTTCCAAGCCGCACGAATGCATAGTAAAACAGTGGGAGGAATCCTACTTCAGCTGCTGTTCTAATGACAAGTTATTGCGGCTTTTAATTGTTCATGTAATCGCTCAACCATACTATTTGCTGAGGGGTGGTATGTAGTTGTGTGGAAATGTTTTGAATTTGTTGAATGCGACAGCTCCTTGAACAGTTGGGACCAAAATTGTCTAGCTTGGTCCATAGTGATTCTTAAGGGTTCGTCAAAACGACAGATCCATCCTTCGTAGAATGTTCGTGCTACCGTTGTGGCTTCTTGATCTGTCATGGGAAATGCGTCAGGCCAACGTGTGAATCTGTCTATACACGTGAGACAATAACAGTATCCTTCCGAGGGTGTCATCATAACTATGGCCAATGTGAATGTGTTCGAATTTTTCTGATGGAAATTCGAATTTGCCCAAAGATGGAGAAACGTGGCGAGTAATTTTTTCTTTTTGGCAAGGAAAACACTCGCGTTCCCATTTGGCAGTCTTTGTTAGCAGATGGCAAGATGAATCGGTGGGTCACAAGTTGCACGGATGCAAGGATGTGTTAACGAATGTAGCTGTTTGAATGCAGCGAAACGTTGGGGTTAAAAAGGTATTGCTGTACCAGTAGAAATGTTGCAGAAAATGGTCGTGAATGTGAATCCGTTTGAGTTGTAGGGATTGGTTTGAATTGGGGTATTCTTGAAGTTCCCTATCGGATTCCTGCTCAGAAGAAAGGGCTTCGTAATCAACGTGTGTTGATAACTCAGAAATTCGGGAGAGTGTCGGCAATAACACTATCTTTCCCAGAAATATGCTGAATTTTCGTTGAGAACTGGCTAATAAAATTGAAATGCCGTGATTGTCTGGGGGAGCATTTGTTAGAGTTCTGACGGAAAGCAATGGTAAGGGGCTTGTGATCCGTAAAAATGATGAAGTCACGGTTTCGAGAAAATGACGGAAATATTTGATTGTGTGAAAAATTGGCAGAGGTTCTCGGTCGAATGCGCTATATTTAGCTTCAGCGTCAGAGAATACCAGGGACTCCTAAGCTCCATTGTGGAATTGTTGCAACATAGCGCCCAAGTGGTGGTCGGAAGCGTCACAAAAAAAAATGCTAAAATAGCATCCGGTTGCGGATGGTGCAGTAGAATAATCTGCACCAGTTGCTTGTTACTTAAGTTGAATACCTCATCGGCTGTGGGATTCCACTGAAGTGGTGCGTTTCCTTTTATTTTTCCCAGAACAAGTTCATTCAATGCAGAATGAGTGTGAGCAGCGTTGGGCAGGAACTTTCTGTAGAAGTGGAGCATACCTAGGAATCGTGGCAATTGTTTTGCGGTACTTAGTTTGAGAAAGTTGATTGTTGCTGTCGCTTTATAGGGCAAAGGGCGTATTCCGACAGAGTAACATAGAAAAGGGACTTCTTCTTTACCAAAATTGCATTTCGCTTGATTAAGTAGTATGCTGTAGGAATGCAGACGAGTAAATAAAGTGTGTAAATGCTGATTGTGCTGTTCAACATTTTTCGTTGCGACTAGTATACCGTCGATGTAAGAGAAACAAAAGTGAAGACCGTGTAACACTTCGTCGATAAAGCGTTGGAATATTCGGCTGACGTTGCGTAATCCACAATTCTTGTACGGAAATTCTAACAAACCAGACGGTGTTGTAATTGCTGTTTTCAGAATCTCTTCTTCTGCAACTGGAATCTGGTTATAGACTCGAATTAAATCAATCATAGAGAAAATTGTATTTTTTGCCAATTTGTTCTCGCGTTGAGAGGGCGGTAATCTCCATATGGGCGCAATGCATCGTCTTTCTTTGAGATCATGTGTAGTGGCGATGCGCTGGGGCTGGAGGAGGGATGTGCGATACCTAGCTGTACCAACTTTACAAATTCTCTCTTGGCAGCAGAGAAACCGTCTGGAGCTAAACGTCGTGGTTTACATGCTACCGGTGGTCCGGGGGTAGTATAAATATAGTGCCTTGTTGAATATTTGGAAAAGGCGATCTGGCCGCTGGCTCGAATTACTGAGGAGAAATGCTGAAGTACATCGTGGTATGTGGACACACACACACACACACACACACACACACACACACACACACACACACANACACACACACACACACACACACACACACACACACACACACACACACACACACACACACACACACACACACGCACACATGCACACCTCAACAACTCAAAACATAACCACATAACACTACCATAATCACACCGGCTGAAGAGGACCTTAATTGGTCCTAGAACGGTCTGAGGTAGAGAGGTTTTAGTCGGTAGGTCCGAGGACTTCTTCTTCGAGAATCCGACACTACCCACTCGTACGGACGGCTGGGTGTCTTTTGAAGATTTCCCCTCTTTCACGAAAACATAAAAAAAAATTACTACTTTGTAGCATGAACGTGGATTTCTGACGTGGCTCAGGTATTACTGACTTGGGATACACGCAGATCTGAGTACCAGTGTCGACTAGGAATTTCTGGCGTATGATTCTGTCTGATACAAATAGGCGACGTTGCGCTGTGTGAACCTCAGTCGTTGCCATACGTGGTTTTCTGGTTGATTTGCTGTTGTCATCCGTCATGGTGGGATCTGTTGGTGTGCCTTGTCCTTAACCATCTGCCCTAATATTGTGGTTAGAACGTCGTCAGGGTAGAAAGCTGAGTGAATTTGAACGGGCTAGGTTCTTCAATTTTACCGCATATATCATCTCAGGTTGTTTAGATCCATCTTGGAGGGCATATATTATGTTGGATAAAGTTTGAATGGTCTCTGAAGTAGAACTGGTCGTGGGATTAGCTGCTACTACGTTTAGATTGCATCCATGATGCAATCAGCTGCCTCTGATGTTTCATTCTAACTCTTGTCCCGCATAGTTGCGATGATGACTTGAACATTAAGAGGGAGGCAACTTGACGAAATGGTTCGCAGTAAATTGTCCGACATGGTGGTTCCGGTCAGACCGCGTAGATGGCGCAGAAATTGCGTGGGTTTTCTATCCCCTAAATCTTCTGGCTCGAGGAGTTGTTTCATTCGTGTTTCTTGGGAGATACCCAATCGATGAATAAGTTCTGCCTTTGATGGTGGCACGTGGTTCAGTCAGCGGGGGGATTGATGATGATGATGATATTACGCTGCGTAACAAGGATCTACGTAAATTGCCTAATACACATACGAATCTTGTGGATTCCAATGTAATTCCAGAGGCCTCAAAACTGCGGCCGATCATATAAAACCAAAGTTCGGGGTCGGGCGGCACGAAGAGTGGCAATTTGACGGCTAGTCGGCTAGGGGACATAGTGAACGGCGGCGTGTTGTGGTAAGGTTGGGCGTCACGTTGCGACCATGACACCGTTGCGACTGACCCGGGCGATGATATTAGTTTACATGCTGAGTGCTGTGGAACAGGGTGCGCTGCTTCGCAGGATGACTAATGTAATCGTGATGAGGAGTGGCCGGTAGAGAATGTGTGACGGACGAGACGGCGGCGTGGATGGCATACCATCTTCAGAAGGTTCCGGCTGTAGTCACCAATGTAGTTCATCACGTCGGGGTCACCACTGTAGTTTTAATTAGTAGCGAAATTGTGGTTCTGATAAAAACCGGTTGGTTGGACACATTTCTGAATGTATAATGAATTTGGCACTATTGCAGCATCCAAATAAAAGTGAGCTTTGTGTTAGACTGATTTATTAAAAATTTACTATTTATACAAAGTTTATATGGTTCTTATGGTAATAGATGATTCAGCAATTCACATTTGTGTATGTAGATGTCCTGGACCTAGTTGGTCGCACTGTGACGCGATTTTACTAAATCGGCACAAATGAAGCACTTATAGTTTTTTAATTGTTACACCTTTATTTATATACCGAGTGTTCCCTCAACATTATTAATGCAGAGAGTACAAAATTTCGATTTTGGGAGTAGATTGAATAAATCCAAGAACTTTATTTACCGATAAAAGCATTTTAATTATTTGTAATAAAAATATAAGTTTGGGAGACAAGTTTAAACAATATCACATTTGAGAGTAGTTATATTAATGGCTCCGAGATCGCGTAGCGCAATGAAGCACTTACCAATCGTTAACAATAAAACATGTACCTATTACTGTAATAATTTATGAATTGCAGTAAAGAATAGGGTAGTATTGGTTGTAGCACAATATAAAAATTTTATGCAGTAGGTTCACTCCTTTGATCTACATGAAATACCGACATTTTTTGCAGGACATCGTAAATTAACTTTATGTGCGCTGAACTGCCATATGCAAAGGACGGTTCAAAAGCATTACCGGTATTTAAATACAAAATGTATTTGTACTGTGGCTCCTCGATGACACTCAAGACAACCCCATGAATTAGTGAAGCATCGGAAGGAGAGGGGATGTATGGGTGCGGTTGGGAAGTGAATCAACTGTATAGAATCTTTATATTGTGGCTGTAGTAGATTATTGTTTATACGTGTGGTACCAAATTGAAAATGTTTGATACTGCACCTTACAACATTACTCTATCACTATACTGCATTAAGGTTTCGATTAAATTAAATTAAATTTGTTAAATAACACAATTTGTCAATCACAGAGACATAGTTAACACTCATATTGCTTCGTCCATATTATTTAATATTATTCGGTAACATAATTTCCCTGTATATGTGTCGACTGCCACTAACTAGACTCTCTTATTTTTTGCAGAAAAACGTTCATTTACGTCTATATACGATAACATTTAGGGTAAAATTTTACTTTCTGACCTTTCAACAAAATGCTTCATTTGTAAATTGTTCTTAATTAGACCTAACATTTAGGCACCCAGAAAATTATGAGCTTTCTTGTGTTCTTATGCAAGTAATACAGGCTACAATGAATTTCTACTTACTGTGCCTTCGTGGTTCCAAATAATATAAGCCGGAGGTTCTGGACTGTGCCTAACCACGCAAGTTAAGTTAATAGTACTTCCGACATCAACATAGAGTTCTGGTCCACCAAGTATTTCCGAAATGGCTTCTAAAACACAAAATAATATTGCCTTGGTATTATCTACTGTATGTTTAACAAAAATATTCGTTATTGATGACCTTTAAAACAAAACAGTCTGCTTATTTCGTATTTATTTATTTATTATTTAATAAATATAAAAATACAGCAGAGCATCTACTGATTAAGAATGTGCTCTTTACTTGAAAAAGAATAGTAGGTACTTAAATTACATTTTGTTTGATGAAGGTACCTCAACTGACGTGAGGAGATGAAAATTTCTTTCATGCATTAGTAAACGTTTAGATCATGGTTAAAATAAAGAAAAAATACCTTACTTTGTAAAAGAAAACTGAAACATTATTAGTTATTTACTCTTGTCAACAGAGCACGACGGAGGCGAGAAAGAATCAACGAATGTAAATTATGCTTTTGTGTTATTTGCTTCAACATTCTTCCACTTCAGTGGTTGAGAGACGTTATTATGAAGGTTAGTTCAGCAAAATGCACATTCATCACATTAAGGGATTAAGATACTAAAGAACTCTAAATTTATTTATAACTAGCTTGCTTGTCAATTGATGAGTTAATTCTAAACCGGATGATTACATTCACGAGACATCAACAATATCGATATCTCGCTGAAGTTCTGTTGAATTATCTATAAATAGATATATAAATGGGAACAACAAAAAATGCAAAATTATAATAATTATGACGCCGGCCCTGGAGATGATATGAGTAAAGTTAGGATTTTTATGCATAAGAAATATTTTAAATATGCACATAAATTGGTAGGTCACCTTTTTCCTAAAAATATGTATAAATATGTGCTTCCTTTTTACAATTTATGCATTTTTATGCACTTTATTCTTGATGAGTTTTGCTTACCGGAAAACAACAAAAATTAATTTAAATAACATTTATACGTATACGTAAATAATAATCATTACGTAATTATAAGTTCAATACAATATCATATTAACTAATTTGAAAATTTGTAATATTGAAATCCTTAAAATGGCTTTTTACATTTTCAATTACATTTTTATAAATGACACATACATAATTTTTTTCTGAAAAACTGAATTATAATTAATAAAATAAATAATAATTAATTCTTGGTAAATGTATCTAAACAAAAGGCAATAAACCAATAATCCTACCTTCCACCGGTAATATAGGCGATAGTGGACATTAAACATTAACAATTTCCAGATAAATTTCACTTGTCATATTATCAGTGGGTAAAACCTCATTTAAAGCTTTTAGACTGATGTATGGGTCAAATATTTACCAACTATTGTTCAAAAAGTTAAAAATATTCACTAAAACTTGACTTTATGCAAAATAAAATAATTTTTAAATAACGTTAATCGTATTAGTTCAGTGTAAAATGGATATATCTACAAAAAAATCCTAACTCTAGAAATGAGTAATAGGTAGGGACCGAATGTGCAAAAATTCAGTCAGTAGTTGGAATCACATGTCAGTTCCTCGTTCGTGTTAGTTATTAGTTATTCTTTAATTTGTTTTGTAAAACAGCTCTCTTGTATTTAATATTTGTGATAAATTAAAAGCAATTTTATTTTATAAAGGGAAAAATTCAGTAAATTTGAAAAGTTAATAAAAATGAAGGTCATCAATAACAACAATCCGTTAATCTTACCAACGACATATAAGTAAAAATAAGCACTCATATGAGGACTAGTAGAAACTTGACATTCGTAAACGCCAGAATCGGTGTGCTGAGGATATTTAATCATAAGAGTCCAATCTCCTGTATGGACTGAATGGATAGCTTTAAATCTTTGATCGTTTGTATAAGTATAGTGACCTACAGTAAGTAAATGGACATCTCTGTGTCTGAGCCATGACACCTGCAACTACATAGTTATGAGAAAACATGCTTAGAGAACAGATGCTATTGACAATATATACATAAACATAACACACTGAATGGATCAAAAACAGCTAAAACGTTTTACAAGTTAGAGGCATCCTTTCGTTTTTATGATGATGATGATGACGATGATCATAAAAGCAATCAAAAAATCGGTTGTCTGTAAAGTCGGTTTACTGACGATAATTGAACGTGACAACGTCATAAGAAAATACTGATGGAATGGCTTCATTTTTCAAAAGAAAATTTTAATTTTATTTGTTTGATAGATATTTTGTATGGATATAGATAAGGAGGTAAATGGAAATGTATTATTGTATAGCACAGAGCCGGGCAAACTTTAACTTCGCAGGAGCCGCTACATGAGATTAGTTTGAGTCACTCCATACCCTTCAATGAGTACGAGAGAGTAAGCAGAAATGAATAATTTTGTTTTGTCTTTTTCTTCTCCCTTCCACTCTCATATCAAGTCCCTTCACCCCGTAGACGAGCGAAGCCACTCTCGCAACTTAAATAATACCTACGAAAATTTTCGTTACTACGTTCGCAAAACTATTGGGTTTGGCTATGGAAGAGGGGACTCACCTACAAAATGGGAGGGATAAGAAAAGGAAAGAATCATCTCATTCGCACTCGCAGGATTAATGAGGATCTACTTGGTTAACCTTGAGGAGCACTCGGGATGCAAAAGAGCCGAGTTTGCCCGGCTCCGGTATAGCAGCTGTCCACGCGGACGCATCGCTCACTCAAGCAGGAGAGAGACAGATGCCGAACGCTGCCGAACGCGGAGGCCGATTGTGCCTCTTTGTCGCTCGTTCCGCGCTCTCGCTTGCACTTCAAGCCTTAAATGGAACGCCTCAGAGCGAGGTAACGCCGCATGAGTCATGTTTTTTGGTGCGTGCAGCCGGCTCCATCGAATTATAAGACATTGTCACGTCAAAATTGATTTTTGTAGTACAAAAGATATGATGCAAAAAATCTGTTCAGGCAAAGCATTAGCGAAAACCAGACAACATAATTCCTCATTAATACACTCCACTATTTAGCAGAGGCGAATAATCATTGTACTTGAAAAGATTCCTTCCAGTAAGTCCTAAAAAGCAAATTAAGTTTTTGGTTTCCAAAGGAACAATTGGTACTTGTTCAAACGTATTTACAATATATAGAAGCTGCTTCATCAGTTTTAAAATCATCAAATGATGTTACCACTGTATGATAAAATAATAGTTACGCTCTTAGAATAGAAACTTTGAGGAATTCACAGAACGTTTACTATGTTGTCCCTTCTGTATATTTTAATGTTTAGTCTGTTAATGTTCGTACGGCAAAGATAAAGAATAAATAAAGAAAGCAACATTTTGTTTTAACGAAGCAATCAAATAAAGATGTTGTGTCTACTCACACATCTGCACACAGTGGAAGTTTTTTACATATTTATTTTTCCAGTATCACTAGGGATTTGAAATGCTCTCATTCTAATTAAAATGTGTACAATCGTCGGGTCACATCCGATTATTCCGGAAGTCGACATCAACTAGCTTATTTTAAATGGAAGGCCATATTTTTATGACATTTTTAAATTCGACCTTTTTAGATCGACTTTGGTTATACAACTCTATCTAAACAATCTACCTGTCTTGTCTATGGTGGACAATCATCCGGCACTTGTTATCCCGTGCTAGAATTAGCGCGTGCTCTTTAATAACTCGTTGCCACATTGCTAACTTAATACTGCCGGATTATCGTTAGCTGTGAGCGCCCAACTTCCTCTTTATGCTAAAAATTTGCTCTGAATGCATTGTCCCAAAATAAAATAGATAGGAAGACTGTTAAGAAGCTAGAAATTTTTAGAAACTAGGAAAACATGAACAATAACACATACAATAGTAAAACTATTTATGGAGAGTATACGTAGGTGACCACAAGTGTATTTTCCTTTTAACTAATAATAATTAGATACTGAAAAACTATGGTTATCATTTATAAATGAAACCTACAGTTAAGCAAAAATATTATAACCATTATCTTTATTATTTTCTTATTTATTATGAAATAATTTTAGAATTTCCTGCTTCATTTATTTACAGTAACTGTAATAAAGGGCTCCATTTACATATTATACCGTACTACTCGATTAATTTTATTTCATAAAAAGTATAAACCTTTCATAAAGAAGAACGTAGAGAGAATGGGACTGAGTAGTGTGCTTCGGCCGATTCTGTTACAAAATGAGAAAAATTAAAAGCTTCCCACTGTTTTCTTTTCCCTTTTTGACTTTTTTCGGTAAATGATGCCCCTTATGCTCTTCTTCTTCTGGTGAAAATTCCGTCAAAATTCTTCCAGCAGGTCTCCAAAATTTCCATCGATTCTACCAAATTCTTTGCTATTTTAAGATCATTCTCTAATTGATACATTTTAAAATCTTAAATCTGCTTACCGGAATAAAGATTACAATAGCAATATTTTCAAAAATTAACTACACACTTGCTACCAACCACAGCACCACCAAATAACCTTAAGGACAAGCAAAACGATCTACTTATAAGCAACAAAACTCCCCTTCCATTTAGATGTTTTTGTCAGCTGAAGAACAATAAGCCATTACACAACCACATACCTACGAGAATCTCAATGATGCATTTGTTGGGCAGAAACTAAAAAGGTGTTAACCCGTAACCGATCAATGATGTTCCCCTTCTCATTTTGTAAGGGAACTTGCACTTGTCTGAGGCTGTTTTTATTCATTATACCACATTGCTGGCACAGAAAGTACACGTGTGATCTGTTGACCGGCCATTCGATGGTAAAGAAATTCACTAATCCAACTTTCATTCGACGGAACATGTTAAACGCGTATAACCTAGTTACCGATCAATGACACCATTCATTCTCATTTTGTAACAAACCGGCCAAAACACACTACTGGGCAGGAAAGCTTTCCCACTGATGAGAGGAGATAAGGAAATAACATTAGTTTCTCTTATTCCATAAATGTTTTGCTATTCGTAATATAAAATTAGTAAAAGGGGGCAGGAGAGGAGAAGGCATTATCACAAGACAGCGGGGGATAACAACCTACCTACTGGGTTGTGGTTGCAGTTCTGAAAATGTATAGAATTTATTAAAGTAAATTTTGCAAGGCAACAAAATGATAAATTGGTGTTTTCAATGTACAAATAATATTCAAATTTCATCGTTTACTTCTAATAAGTTCGATCCTGTATCTTACAATATTGCGAAATGAATAACTTTTGACCGTCAGCTGTTAAAAGGTTCATTCGCCACTCCATAAGAAACATTCGACTCTATTCGTCCTTTTTGACTATTACCTATCCAATTTGCAATGTAATTTTAATATAGTTTAAAGCAGAGTAATGATTTACGTGTGATATTCGTATTGTATGAGAGCATAGCAACTTACCGTGTAAAACTCTTTTGTTTTCATTAGTGGAAAAAAATATCATATATATAGCTTTGTTATCAAATTATATTATTCAAGCTGGAACAACAGTATATTTCATTTATAGCAAGCATGGAAACATTTAATCGAAATGAGCAACTACTTATAAATGTAAAATAAAAATAGGTGTTGCATTTGGATAAAATTCAAATTTTATCGGTTGCTCTGGTTCTGGTTAAAATTTTTGAGATAAGTACTGTCGATATACCAATGAACATTTATCATAACAAATATCCGTTAAATATCCATATCGGAATGTGCGAATCAAAATGGGGATGCGGATTTTTATTTTGCGGTTGTGAATGATGGTTTGGATATTAAAATTCCTGGGGGGCATCAACAGTTGCGGATGCGGATGTCCATTAAAATCCTACTTTCAATTCCTGGAGTCAAACATATGCATTCCTATCTATAAAAAGTAACTTGACCTGCGAATGATCTCGAAGATGTTTCATTAGTTCGAGATAAATGACAACCCGGATGTATACTTCAAAGTTTCAAACACGACTAAGATAAAATTTGGACAAATATCTGTATCAATGCTGGTGGGCGGGCAGTCCCTCTGGAATACACCAGAAGGTAGAATGGCAGGCCCTCTTCAGCTTCCTTGGGAATCGATAGGTGGCGATTGGGGATAAAAAGATAAAGTAGACAAAATAAAAGATTATTTGTGGAATATTATTTCTCCAGCAGCAGTGTTTTTACAGTAAGTTAATATTTTATAATTAGTTAGTTTTACGAATATTTTTGTTACGTATAAGCATGATGAGGATATCGTGGGTAGAAAAGGTTAGAAATGAAGAGGTATTGGAAATAATAGGAGAACAGAGGACTCTATGGAAGTCAATAAAAAATAGGCGAGATAGGTTGGTAGGACACCTTCTCAGGCATGAAGGTCTAGTCAGAGACATATTAGAGGCAGAAACAGGAGTTAGGAGGGGTAGAGGTAGACCTAGATTAGATTACTCTTCGCAAATAGTTAAGGATGTGACTGTTCTAGTTTTGGGGAAATGCGAAGTTCAGCTCAGGATAGGAAAGAGTGTAGGTACGTGTCCAACCAGTCTTAGGACTGATGACCTTATGATGATGATGATAAGCATAAAAATTTCATTCCTATATTTTTTCATCTAATAAAATAAACACTTTTTTTGTCAGTTTGATCCCGTTATATACCCCGTATCACGTAAAGTGGCGGCTCAAGCAATAAAACTGCCAAGTAGTGGCCGTCCTTGTTAACGCTTCCAATATTATGGCATTTCTCAAACGAAACACGTTTTGTATTCTGTTAACCACTATGAAGATCAAACTTTCGAATCTCAGCTGTACAGATAGACTGAGCAAGGACTATTATCTCTTAAAATTGTCACTAAATAATGGCAACAAAGCTACACAGCGCAAGAACTTCACGATAAAATCATTGTTGCGATAGAAAACAGTCTCAAAAAGGCACATAACCCTTCAAAACACATAAACATGCCTTCTGTTTTATCAGACAAAACAAAAAGATTAATATCAAGACGGCAACTTCTCTAAAAGACAATATCAAAAACTAGAAGTATGAAAAATAAACTTAATACGCTCTACAAACTCATAAGTAAATACATCCGGCATGACTACAGCATCCATCCAAAACATATACTTCAGTCTGGAAATTTTAAGAGAGCCAATAAAGAACTTAAACTTGGATAGAAGGACTTAAAGCTTCAAATAAAACTACATGCAATAGAAATGAAATACTTCAAGTTGCAACAAAATGCTATAAAACTCAGTACAAATGTAAATACTGTAGAAAGCCATCCTCAGCTTCAACTCTATCAAAAGAGACATTGTCCGAAATTGTAGACATAGAGGAGGTTGAAGTAATGAAGAAAAACACCAGATTAAAGTCTGAAAAAAGCCCAGGACCAGATGAGATATACAACGAAGCCATGAAGGTAGGAGCTCCCTGTTTAGTGAGCACACTGCTCTTTAACCTCGGCAACTACATCAAAATAATGGACTGAGTCGGGCATCATTTTATTGTATAGAAAAGAAGATCCAAATGATATAAAAAAAAGTACCAACCAATAAGTCTACTGTCTTCAATATACAAATTATTCGCATCAATTCTAGAAAAGAGAATCAGAGGCACTATAGAAAACTCTACTGACTTCAATATACAAATTATTCGCATCAATGATAGAAAAGAGAAGGCAGGATTTAGAAGAGGATTTTTAAACATTATTGGCTACGACAACGGTAACCCATTCGTCCAAATTTCGACGAGTTCAACTAGACCAAACTAGACTATTGTCAAAAAAATGAAATACTATGAAGAGCTGAATTTATTCAGATACTTGTTAACAACCTTCTTTTTCCTTCTTTTTTACGGAGCAATATTGTTATTTTATTTCTAAAACAGATATTTTAAAAGCATAAATTAATGGCACGACTTATTTTGAGGATCACAAAAATAAACACCCAACCAACACTTATTGCTTACTCGAGAAGGCGAGCTCAGCATTTCTTATAAGATGAAGTGGCTCAGCTAATAGTTCCTGAAAGAGTTAAGTTTGAAAATATCTCTCTACTAAATCAGCGATGTGTCTGGAGATTGCTACTTAACTGTATATAGCACACACTTCTATAGATTCGAGATGCCAAAGCAGGAAACTGGTATTTCACATTTATATTTGTAGACTTCAAACAATTTTGGAATACCTGGCCTTCGGGAATTTATAGCACTATTGGGAGTCCAGTTCTCTTACAAGGAGAGGGTCAGGTATTAAAGTTCAGCAATAAGACATTAATTTGTCGTAGTAGTAGAGCCCGCTTTTCAGTCGTTTTCGAGAAAATCGAGGCTAAAATGATGCTGTGTGCCTTATAATAGAATAAATTGCGAACCGTTATCAAGCAAGATGAATGGCTGTGAGGGCATCTCTGTGTTCTAGTAATCGATACATTGGGGGTTCGAAATTTTAAATAATTTTTATGTATAATTCAATTTTAAAAGTTACATTTCTTAAATCTCCGCCAACCAAAGAAATATTTAATTATTATTTTTACTTAAATTTGCTTGGAACATCCTACGTTCTTTTTCGAAAAGTTATTTTCATCGATCGTGGAGGAGGACAAGAGAGCGTCATAGGAATCGGTATAATGGTGGAAATGTAATTAACATGTTAATTTTACATATGAACGTAATTAAAATTCTTGTACAATAATAATAATAATTAAGGACGGAAAATAAAAAAAAATTTACTTTGTTATCAATTTTGTTGATTAGAGAAAATATAAAAACAAAAATAGCAGAATCAAAAATTGACAAGGAAACATAATACCTGCAGCTTCAAATGCAAAAAGCAATTTGGATGTAAATAGACAACTTGGATACTGTGCAACAAAAGAAACAATTTAATAACAACCCCTTCTTCATATCTTTACAGTCTAAACGAAATTGTTTGCTTCAAATATTAGCTCGAACCAATATGTTGCCCCCAACAAAAAAGTCGTTTGTAATACAATTGACACAGAAGAAACTTATTTCTGTTGGGTTTCTCAAATACCTTTATTTAAAAAAAAAACATCTTCGACCTCTCGATTAATTGTCAAAGAGAACATACAGAATTAGATTAAAAAATAGAGTCTCATCTATTCAAAAGATGAAAACATATTGTCACTTGTAAGCAACCCAACATACAGTCTCACGAGTAGGCAATCCAACATACATAGTGATAAAGAAAACCAGATTTTCTAGACGTCACATTGTGGATCTTTCTAGAACAAGGCCAGACCCTCTAAATAATTGTCACGAGGTCCGAGGTCAGAACAGTTCGAGTTACGAGGCGATACAAAGTGAAATAGAAGGGATGAAGAAGCGACAAAGTATGCAACATAGTGTTAAAATAATAATTAATTAATAATTGTGGTGTTGATTAAAAAGAATGAATAGTTAAATAAATTAGCGGGTAATCAGAAACGTGGTTGGTTACGTTACAATATGAAGGAGCAGGTTATTAATTTTAGTTAATTTGCATCATATCTTTGTGTTTGTACTACTTACTATTTATTCACCTTAAAAATTCTAATATAATATCATATCTTTTGGTTGCTTTTCATCATTTTTAGGCACATGACCTTAATTTGCTTTTTGTTTAGTTAGGTATGACCATTTTGTATGTTTAGCAAAAACATACGCTAAAATAGTGGTGCTTTTAACGTAAGCACTGTTGGCTTTTTCCCTTGTGGTTGATTGAAATATATCTTAAAAAATGATTAGGGTAAAACCGGTAGAGACGGCGCAGCGGGGGAGATGGCGCAAACAAATATTTTCCACGTTTCGCGCTTTTGCAGCACAATAGTACTGTTTAGGTCTCACAGTAATGAGTGGTTGTTAATTCGTGGTGTGTCTGAGTGTTTAAATGATCTACTAAGGTAAGTAAATAATCAATATATATTTCTGCATGCTAATTTTTTTTCACTGGTTTACAGATTATAAAGTGTACAAATTAAACTAACGAATTTTTGATGGGTTTATTATTACCTGAGCATTACCAAATGTTTGAAGCGTTCTTCTAACCTACAATTGCAGGCATGCATGCAATGAGGCGGGAGTACATGGCCGCGCCATCTCATCCAACGGGATTGGGTTAGTTGGCGCGAGCCATCTCTCCCGACCTCAACAAAACATAAGAATTTGTATATTTTATATTTTATGTATTCTTTTATAGATGCCAACTGAATATATTCGCAAGAGAAGCTGCTCCAGAGGTTTGTGGACTGAACAGCAGTTGACTGCAGCAGTAAATGCTGTACAAAATGAAAGTATTGGAGTTAATGAAGCATCCAGACAGTGGCATGGATGGCGAGAGGGACTGTGTTGGTTGCGGGGAAAATTATGAATATACTTCAAGTAAAGAGGACTGGCTACAGTGTATTTGTTGTCATAGATGGCTTCATGAGGGTTGTACCACGTTTCCCAATCATTGTATCCGATGTGGCAGAAAAGAAAATGTGAAAAAATGAGGTTTTTTTTTTCGCGCCGTCTCTCCCACTGTCGTAGGGTGAGATGGATTTTAACATATTTTTTTTAAATATTTTTTCGAATGTTAAAATAATGCCGAATTGCTCGTTTTTATTATTTACCGGATGTATATCATTGTAAACAATATGTTATTTCTATTAAACGATTTTATTTTTAAATTTTGCCTCTTTTATCAAGAAGACAAAAAAGGTGCGCCATCTCTCCCGGTTTTACCCTAACTAAAACTGTGAACTGCTTTGTATTAGTTTATTATTTACACTTTAATAACTATAATTACTAAGCCTCTTAAATATAAAACTAATGGCTATCTTTATACTATGTGCTTGATATGCCCTCTCAATAGGAACTGTCCTAAAAGCTTATTTTTTTTACACATGCCACCCTTGTTTGACCTTAAAATTACTCTCAGATGTTGCCTTTTTCTTGGAAGGTGACAATATCGACACCCTACGTCATGCCGAAACGAGTTCTTACCGACCCCTCAATAAAGGCCAAAAGAGTTTTGTTTTAAGTCCTCCAAAGGTTGTTTTTTAAAAATTTCTTTATTTCTAAAAAACGTTGTGGGGACTGAGAAAGGTTACCAAATTTGTTAGTGAGTTCACGATTTATTTACTTGCACATTAATACTTGATACAAGCGTTAAATGTTACAAAGTAAAAAGGATGTAGGTTCGCACTTCTGAATGGTAAGACGTGTTGGTAACAAATCTAAAGATTTACATTTAAAGAACAATAATGAAAACTTAAATGTTAATCGTGCAAAATTGCAGTTTCCTAGTACAGAGTCGTTATCAGGGCTTTAACTTGTGAGCAGACTTGCGTCAGCATATTTTTATACATACATACCATTATATAACTAAAGGCTGTTGTTTAACAGACCATAAGTTTTTAAATAATCAAATAAGTTATAAGGTTATAGAACTCTGTATCTGCTGTAAAATTATTGAGAGATTGCGTGCACATCATCAAAGCGACGTAAGTTGTAGAAATCAATACAGTAGGTAATGACTGAAGTTAAAAACAACAAACTCTAAAGCCACTCGTATTAATATTTTAGAGAAGGTAAGCATTTGTATAGGAGAACTCGATGAGATAGGGCGACACTAGCAGTGTGTATGATACAACTATTTCGATCTACCTTCGACCCTATATACGTCAAAAGCTGTTACACCTACACACTTCTAATTTGACATGTTTAATCTGACCTCTCCTTAAGTTCCTAGAATCTCAAATTTAATGAATAAACTAAAGATAATTCTCTCTAGATCGTTTGGTCACACAAAGGAAAAAATTAGAAAACTACAAATGGGTTTACACGCAACCACTTACTAATGTTACTACAAATGCATGGTACTTCTACAAAACAAAAATATTCTGTTAACGAATAACTTACTGTTCTATTGCTGAAGTTTTTAACACGGCAGTTTAAATATGCAGTTCTTCCCAGCAGAGCAGTTACATTTGTAGACACGTTACTATCAAAATAGGATATACTCCCTTTGGTGACATTGTTGGTTGGAGATTCGTTCAGGGAGTTGTCCGATGCATTACTATCGGAATGCACCGCGCTTAGCGCTGAAAACAAAATAAGACTTTTATTGGTATTATAGGTATAGAAAGAATGATGGAAAGTTTGAAAGAATTAAATTAATAAATAGAGTAATTGTTTATTTATTTTACTTTGCGTACGGTTTCATCGTTTACCGTACAGAATTTTCGCTACTAATATCACCTTCGTGCATGTACATAGAATACGTCTAGACGTAAACGCTTGAGGCGGGTACAATAGGCAACACATTATACTCGTACTTAGAACAAACTTAGAATGGCGAGAAACAACATTGCGCTAATGCGAGAAAAGCACGTTTTCGTGAAATGCATTCATCTGGCTGTCGCAGTTGAAGTATGGTAGTTTCATTTGGAGTGCTAAACAACACTATTGTTTGCAATTGTTTATTACATTTAGACGGGTAAAATAAAATATTTAAGGAAAATGTATGAGAAAGTCTTACGATTAACATTAAAATAAGTAACTGCCACAATAATTTTAATCTATTATGAAATGGTTACATTAATTTTTTTAGTTTCCATTTCTTAAATTGATTTGCTTTGTTAAAAGACACTCTTAAATATGTTTGTTTGGCCTGCCTATAGTTTATCATACATGCGAGGTATACATAAATAAATTCGCCAGCAGTCTCGAGCTGACCGTCGTCGAGTTCAGGTGTGCTATGTCCAGCTTGTTAACTAATAAATTTTTTGCCTGTACTTTCACCATGAGTGAGAAAACCAGTTTTGAAGTTTTACTGTCTTGAAGTTCTCTGACTACAAGGATCATCTTATATCCTTCTAAAAAATGGAGGACCCCCCAGCCGCCACGACCCAATGTGCTTCAAGCTTCTTTAGTGCCATTCAAAAAGACCATTTTCCCATGTTGGTAAACCATAAAGTCATATTCGTTTCATTTCTAGAATAGCCAACAATTGCTTATGCGCATATTTATCAACAAACGAGTTTGCAGACACTCTTATTGATAAATACAGTCAAATTCAAGGCCAAAAACTTCTCATCAAAGCTTTAATAACTAGAAATAATAGGATCATCATATCGAACGTGTGCCCAGTAATTCCCAACTACGTCATAGAACAAAAACTCAAGGAAATGAATATAAACTCAATGTCCTCAATTATATTCCTGGCCGGAATGACGCAGTATTCAATCACATCATAACTCACTACCGTCAGTCGAATTTCAACCACTACCTTCGTCGAATAATAGCCACATGGTCATCACATCTACAGTCCCCAAAATAACGACAACATAAATTCAGACCATTAATTCATCTATAGTACATCTTCGTAAGCCAGTCTATCCAGGCTAGACTCTAGACACCGAGCGAAAAAGACAGAATCTTCCCTGCCATTTCAAATCAACAATGCCGATGAAAAAGCCATGTAACTTCTATTTTCCTCTACAGACAAACAATATCCTCTGAACCTACCATAACTGAAAGATTTTTTCGAGAAAACATATGGAAAACAATATTGCAGACATTGTCAAAGAATTCACTCAAGATCCCAAGGCAATTATTCACCTGCTTCACGACCTGTACCATCTACCCTCTACTTTCAAGTAGAAGTATAAAAAACAGAATTACACGGATCACCAAAAAAATTGAATCATTTCTCCGTGTATCAAGTCGAAAAGAAGACTTCAAAAAAAAGATATTTAAGCTAAAATTACTCAAAACGGACTAGAATAAATTTAAGTCCCAGTTAGACTCTGTATACAGTTTCTTTCTATCAAAAGAATATGATGCTCTCCCCTCCAAGGATAAATATCAGTCTCTGGCAATCCATATCATCAATGTATTAAAACTAACCACCCCTCGCAACAAGCCTAGAAACTTCACAATAAGGAACACCGTAGCATGGTGGGACAACGAATGTAATAAAGCTAAAAGATTGATACGTGCAGGTTTCAGGAAGTGGGAGCATACTTGTGAGTTCAAAGACTGGATCTTCTACAAAAGACTTGTGCTTTAGCCATCAAGATGTTCAAGATAAAAAAAAGAGGATACTTTAAGCACTTCGTATGCAGCATCAACCATCACGCTAGTCTCACATACGCTTGGAATACATGCAAAGTCCTCAAGAACAAATGGGTGAAGATTTTCCCTTCCCAGACCAGAAATAACTTGCAGGCTTCGAGCAAAATATCAACTCGTATGAACAAAATTAGCCCGCCTTGTGTTGGCATAGACCCCGAGTGACTTCCTCAATAATCCCTGCATGTGTCAGGACTTCGATTTTGCTGAGTTCAACATAGAGTTAGAATCAAAACGTAACAAGTCAGCCCCGTGACCTGATAGCAATGAAATGTATGCCTCTGAGTCCTACCCTCGCTCTTGGAAGGAAGCGTATGTCCACTTCATAGACAAAGCTGGTGGTATAAGCGTCAAACGTATCACTGTATCATCATGCATTGTTTGATACTTATCAAAAACAGGCTACAATGGATGATTGAATACTACATGATTCTGCCTGAGAGTCAGTTAGGCGTCAGAAAGGGGAGATCCTGCTACGAGAACTTGCTGAGCCTGTCCGTATTCATCGAAGAAGCTATCCTAGAAAAAAGAAAAATTACGTACGAAGTTACTGTACTTTTCAGACACAGCTACCCAACTTCCAGAGACAGATAAGATTTCCCAGTAAAACATAGTTGAGATAGGTTGGAAGGACACCTTCTCAGGGATGAAGGTCTAGTCAGGGACATATTAGAGGTAAAAACAGAAGTTAAGAGGAGTAGAGGTAGACCTAGATTAGATTACTGTTGACAAATAGTTAAGGATGTTAGAGGTTCTAGTTTTAGGAAAATGCGAAGATTAGCTCAGGATAGGAAGGAGTAGAGGTGCATGCCCAACTAATCTTAAGACTGACGACCTTATGATGATGATGATGCAAACAAACTGTTACTGCCTCTTTTCAAATCTGATTCTGACATCGAGAACAGCATTCGACGTCAAATGTTTTTTAACCTTCCATCGAATCCCCAATTTTAAATCTTTCAAACGAAATGACCCAGCCAAATCCTGTCTTTCGTTTTCGTGTTTGACGCATAACGTCAAATGTGTACAAACAAGTCAGAACATTATTCTTCTATTTATGGTGATAAGGTCCCATTTTAACAAAAACATAGTATTATTCGACTTAATTGTTACTCGTGTTACTGGAAAAGCTATTGGCTGTATTAATAGGAAAATTGTCAACATTTGAACTCCTTGATAAAACTTTTGTTAGGAAGATATTATTGTCGACCCTCCTTCTGAAATAATTGTAGAATTAGAACTGGAGACCGTGTAGTCAATAACATAACTGGAGTTATTTCGTATATTATGACCAAATTGAAGAAGAATTAGTCAACTTATTACACTTTGTTCGCTTAAATGAAAAGGATAGTTTTCCAATAAACAGAATTAGAGAGCCTTATCGCCCACACTTAAGCCATATTAAGACTCAAGCATGCATTTGAAGAATGTCGTACTCTTTATAACGAAGCACATATATCTCCAGTTTTGAATTACCAAAACAATTAATAGGTACATAAAAGCTAATCCAAAATGCTTACATCTACTGAATACTTATTTACTCCATCTCGAATTAATTTCGGTCGATATCTTTTCTGAAATTAAACAGTATCTATTTAATACATTTCCGATGCTGACAATACTATACCTGAAATTAATCTCATTTATATAGTTCTATTACGAACGACTATAACTTCTCAATTGGTTGTATTCATCGTCAATATACCTATCCAAAAGTTTACAATATTGCCCAAATTTATCCACTGCCTAGAAATAATTTCACTATGGTTCCTCCTTCACGGTTTCTGCTGAAATATCGTCTATAAGCCAATGACTAAAGATAACGAAGAGATGGTTCACTAATTTTCAAGAATGACAAAAGCGATGTGTACATAAAAAGGACAGGTCTTTGTATTAGGAGTAATCGTGTCAATAATTCGTAATTTTGTTTAACTAATGCTTTTTTGTTTTTTTTTTTCAAACAAAGATAGCTCGTTGAAATATTTAGTGTCAGCAAACTCATTTAATTTTAATATGTACCTAGATCATGTAATGGTTGAAGTTATGAGTAAATTTATGCTAACGTTTATTAATACTTCATTAATAATTACTTCCTAAACTCTCCGTCTTCGTCGCTAAATGTTTTTGAATGGAACTAAGGTGATTTTAGATAGAGCGATACGTAATTTTGATTCCCTGCCGTGTTGGCTTCATATTTCTGATCACATCCAGTCAGTTGTTAAGGTATGATTAAAACAAACATTCTCATTTGTAATCTCGGTGGGATATTCAAAATATACAAAGCGAGTATTTTAGATTCAAATACTGACATGTCTTCATTGGCTGCTATCACTTCAAAGGAAGTTTCAGACTAAAGTTTGTTTTGAAAAAATAATCAATTGGTACTTAATTTGACCTTGACTTTTGAGGTAATTTTGTAATCGGAAATACTCACAAAGTTAATTTACCCTTAATTTTTCGAACGGGATGCATGAGAAATTAAAAACAATCGAATAGCCCAAATATCTTTACAGAATTTTATTATTTCGAAATAAGGTTTGGTCGAAAGTGTTTTCAACAAGCGATCAATCCCCCCTACGAGAACTTGACATAGGTCGAGGGTAGCAACGATCTTTACTTTGGAGGACAGACGGAGTTTTCACCCTCATACAGCAATAAAGGGGAGTATAGCTAAGGTCAGTTTAGCTTAGCCTACGGCTACAAATCAAGGGACACCATGGGCAAGGCAGAAATTACCCCAGAGCAGTAGTATCCGGAAAGTAAACGGCCAGTAGAATCCTGCTGTTCGGGGATTTTCTATACTCCACTTGGGGAACCCACCTCCAACCAGTAGTAATTTAATATTATTAGACGTATAAGGGAACAACTCTAAGGGTTGCCCCTCTGCTCGGAACCATCGAAGGGGCGAACCCCATAGCTGAAAGTCGCCAACGGAGAATAACAGTGATCCCTTGTGGAAATGCAGGGA